CCCTTCCCATGCTCATCTCTCCCTCAGGCAGCCCCTTCCTCCCCAGGGAAGGAGCTGGGATGAACAATCCCATAAAACATCCCAGGAGAGCCTGTCCTGCCCCACAGCCGCCACCACACCAAGGTCCAGCTCTCAATTAACCCCCGCCTGACCTTCCTTCACTTTCTTTCCCCCTGCTCTGCCCTTCCTGCCAAAGTTCAGCGTTTCCTGGAAAAGTCTCCGTGCCTGTTGGATGTTGTCCTTCGCCTTGGTTGCCGAGGGAAGGATTTGCAGGATTTACAGGTGCCTGGCCCCCTCTGGAAGCCCATGACCGCGGGCTGACCCCCCGGTACAATATGTGAACTCCTGCCCTGCTGATAAGGCTGCCAGATAGGAGCAGGAGTTTGCAAATAATCCTTTGGGAATTTATAAGCAGCGCAGCCATAAAACCGAGGTGACTGGAAGGTCGATTTCACTAAAAATAATAAATATCTCAATGTTTATTCAACGTGGGCCTTTTTAACTGCAGGCCAAGCTCTGAGATAACGCCATTGTAAATGACAAATATTGGGAGTTTTGGGGAACTATTACATTATGATCCTTCCGTCTGACACTGCCGGGGCCGTTCCCTCGATGCCGTGCAGGATCTCTGACACTGCTCCACCCGAGCTGGGCCTGGAAAGCCAGGCCAGGATTCAGGCTCAGGTCAGCAAAAGGGCAGCTTGCTGCTCAGGGGCTTTTTAATCCTGCTCCTGGCTCCCTAAAACACCTTCCCTGGAGCTGTGCTCCGATTTCTGCTCGTTGTTCCTGTTTGGAGGGTCTGGGCTGGGGATGAACAGGAGGAATGGGAGCAGGGGCTGGAATGGGAGCAGGGAAAGGAATGGGAGCAGGGACTGGAATGGGAGCAGGGAAAGGAATGGGAGCAGGGACAGGAATGGGAGCAGGGACAGGAATGGGAGCAGGGACAGGAATGGGAGCAGGGACAGGAATGGGAGCAGGGGCTGGAATGGGAGCAGGGGTGGAATGAGAGCAGGGACAGGAAAGGGAGCAGGGAAAGGAATGGGAGCAGGGACAGGAATGGGAGCTGGGACAGGAATGGGAGCTGGGACAGGAATGGGAGCAGGGGCTGGCCCCAGCTCAGGGTGGGGACAGAGCTGCTGGCACTGGACCCCTGCCCAGCTTGCACCTCTCCAAAGAACCCCTGAGGTTGGAAAAATTCTCTGGGATTGAATCCAACCATCCCCAGCGCTGTCCTGTGTCCCCAAGTGTTGCCTCAGGTTTTAATTTTCTATTTTTCACATTCTGTGCTGCTTCCAGATTTAATAAATCCCTGCTTTATTCTGGAACTCTGTCCAGCCTCTGCTCCAGCTCAGCCCTCACAGGGCATCACAAGGGCCACGTCCCTGCAGGATGGGGACTGCTGGAAAACCCTTTCCACAAAGGAATTGTCCCAATACCCGACCTAAACCTCACCTGGCTGTTTCCTCCCATCCCATGTTCCCCCCTGTCCCTTGTAGGGACACCCCCACCCAGGCCCCTGCACCATTCCCACCTCCAGAAGGAGACAATCCCACCCAGGTCCATCCCAGGGATCTGCTGCTTCCCCCGACCCATTTCTGAGGATCAATCCCTATTTCTGATTAGAAAGACAACAAAATCCCCACTGCAGAGACAAACCCATTTCTGTTACGTGAAGCAAAGCAATTCCATTCTTGGCCTTGAAATCCATGGAATGCAACCATTTGGAATGGTCAAAACTGCCCCATCCACCAGCAGAAGCTGCTGACTTCTCAGAACACCTTCGTGGACAATCACACCAGCAAATGCATAATAAATCCTAATTAAATCCATATTAAATCCAAATTAAATCCACAATAAACCCATATTAAACCTGTATCAAATCCATATCACACTCTTGTGTCAAACCAAGGCCTGGCAGCCCCTCCAACAGGATTCCTAACCCATCTCCATGATCCCCATTCCTCCCTGAAGCTTTCCCAAATAAAGTGGCACTTTCAGCCCCCCCCACAGCCTTTCAGCTCCCTCCTAATTCCCAATTAACAAACTCCTGCTCCTCCCAGCTCCGCCTGGAGCGCCGGGATATTCCTCCAAGATAAACACAGCCACACATTTTGGGGAGGGGAGCTTCTCATTCCATGAAAATCTCACGGCAACGTGGCCAAATGACCTAATTATGAACAGATGAGGGGCACAAAAAGATGTTTTATAGGAACGGGGCTTCTGACAGTTCTTTTCCTTCAGCAAACCCGTGTGGATGGCTGGAGACGCCGGGAACTGGGAAACAATTCCCTCTCCAGGCTGGGAAGGGAGGAAAGCTGGCAACACAGAGCTCCTTTCATCTCCTGCCTGGGATTTGGCTGCCCAACCACAGGGTAAGAGCTCCACGACAGCTCCTGGGCTCCAACAGCCCTGGAAAAGGGATGCAGGTTCCCTGGAATGGCAGATGCAGGGCCTGGATGCTCCTGGAAGCTCCTGGAAGGTTGGAGGGTGGGCTCCAAATGTCCCTAAAAAGAGATGAGACTCCAGAAGTTCCTTGGATCAGGAGATTCAAGGCTCAGATGCATCCTTGAAATTCAGAGTTGAGTTGAAGGGTGAGCTCCAAAGGCCCAGGAAAAGGGATGAGACTCCACAAGTTCCTTGGAATGGCAGATTCAGGGCTTGGATGCTGCTGGAAACATCCTTGGAATTCAAAGTTGGATGGTGAACTCCAAATGTCCCTAGAAAGGGATGAGGCTCCACAGCTTCTCTGGATCTGGAAATTCAAGGCTCAGATGCATCCCAAAAATTCAAATTTGGAGGGTGAGCTCCCAAGGCACTGGAAAAGGGATCCAGGTTCCTTGGAATGGCAAAATCAAGGCCTGGATGCTGCTGGAAGCATCCCTGAAACCCAGAGCTGGAGCATGAGTTCCAAAGGTCCCTAAAAAGGGATGAGGCTCCTCAGGTTCTGTGGGTCAGGAGATTCAAGGCTTGGATGCTTCCCGAAATTCAGAGTGGGAGGGTGAGCTCCAAAGGCCCAGGAAAAGGGATGAGACTCCTTGGAATGGCACATTCAAGGCTTGGAAGCATCCCTGAAATTGAAGGTTGGAGAGAGAGCTCCACAGGCCCAGGAAAAGGGAAGAGACTCCACAAATTCCTTGGAATGGGACAGTCAAGGTTTGGAAACATCCCCAAAATTCAAATTAGGAAGGCGAGCTCCCAAGGCCCTGGAAAAGGGATGATATCCATAAGTTCCTTGGAATGGCAGATTCAGGGCTTGGATGCTCCTGGAAGCATCCCTAAAATGGAAAGTTAGAAGGTGAGCTCCAAGTGTCCCTAAAAAGGGATGAGGCTCACAAGTTCTTTGGATCAGGAGATTCAAGGCTCGGATGCATCCCTGAAATTCAGAGTGGAAGGGTGAGCTCCAAAGGCCCAGGAAAAGGGATGAGACTCCACAGGTTCCTTGGATCAGGACATTTAAGGCTTGGATGCTGCTGGAAGCATCCCAAAAATTCCCAATTCAAAGTTGGAGGATGAGCTCCAAAGGTTCATCATCTGCCTTCCTTATAAATTAATATTTGAAAAAAATCCCTGCACTCAGAATTCCCAGGAGCCAGCCTGTGGAAAGAGGAGCTCCCTTGGACAGCTCCAAGGAACCATCTCCAGTCAAAAAACAAACTCCTGGCACAATCTGTGGGATTTTTTCCCTCAGGAATCTCAGAGTGATCCGGGCAAGGGTGGATTTGGGGATGGCAGCAAAGCCAGACAGAGCTGGCAGGGCAGTGAAGGCCTCCAAGGTGCAGAAAATGATCCATTTCTGAGGAATTCCTACCCAAAACTCCTCCTTTTCCATGGAATGGTGAAATTACTGTGGCCAAAGAAGAATTCTTGGAGAAAACAGCATCGGAATCTGACCAATTCCTGCCCAAAACTCTCCCATTTTTCAGGGAATAACAAAATTGCTGCATCCAAAGAGGAATTCTTGGAGGAAACAGCATCAGAATCCAACCAATTCCTCCCCAAAACTCCTCCATTACCAAGGAATAATGAAGTTAACAAATCCAAAGAATTCTTGGAGAAAATGGTATCAGAATCCAAACAATTCCTGCCCAAAGTTCTCCCATTTCAATGGAATAATTAAGTTAATGAATCTAAAGAATTCCTGGAGCAAAGAGCATCAGAATCCAACCAATCCCTGCCCAAAACTCTCCCATTTCAATGGAATAATTAAGTTAATGGATCAAAAAAAGTTCTCAGAGATAATGGTATCAGAGAATCCAATCAATTCCTGCCCAAAACTCTTCCATTTCCATGGAATATTGAAATTACTGCATCCAAAAAAGTATTTTTGGAGAAAACAGCATCAGAACCCAACAAATTCCTATCCAAAATTCTCCCATTCCCATAGAATAATTCATTTTCCTTGGAGCAAACAGCATCAGAATCCAACCAATCCCTGCCCAAAACTCTCCCATTTCAATGGAATAATGAAGTTAATGGATCCAAAGAATTCTTGGAGGAAACAGCACCAGAATACGACCAATTCCAACCCAAAATTCCTCCATTTCCAAGGAATAATAGAATTACCGGATCCAAAGAGAAATTCTTGGAGCAAACAGCATCAGAATCCAACCAATCCCTGCCCAAAATTCTTCCATTCCCACGGAAAAACAAAATTTCTGCATCCAAAGAGGAATTTTTGGAGAAAACAATGTCAGAATCCAACCAATTCCTCGCCAAAACTCCTCCATTTCCAAGGAATAATGGAATTACTGGATCCAAAAAGGAATTCTTGGAGGAAAGCCCAACAACTACGAAATATAAACACACGAAAAATTCCAGATTTGGGACAGCAGGAGAAAATTCCTTTGCATTTCCGTGCCCTGCCTGAAGGAATTCCACGGATTTTCCCCAAATCCATCCATCCCTCGGGGATTTTTATCTCCCTCAGGGATCCAAGGATAAAGGAGGGAGGGGCAGCTCCGTGGAATTCCCCAGAGCAGGAAAATCCCGGATTCACTCACCAGGACGGAGTAGATGTGGAGGCATCGATAGACCGGGGAGAAATCCACCAAATCCTGGGCTCCAGGCACCTAAACCAGGGAGAAAATCCATGAAAAACCTGGGAAACTCACCAAAAATCCATGGATGGGGAAGTAAAACTGCGAGAAATTTAAATACGGATACATGGAACTCTAAAATATCAAAGACAGACATTGAAATACTAAAAAAAAAATCACATTTAGATAAATTTGTCACTCAAAAAAATCACATTTAGGTGAATGAAATTTAAAAAAAAATCAAATTTCTGTAAGTGTCACTCTAAAAAATCCCATCTAGGCAGTGCAAGTCATAAAAATTTCATTTGTAAATAAGTAGAAGTGCAAAAAATTTAAATATGGGTGAGTGGAATTCTAAAATATCAACGAGAGACAAAAAAAAATCACATTTAAATAAGTTTGTCGCTCCAAAAAATCACATTTAGGTGGATGAAACTATAAAAAAATCAAATTCCTGTAAGTTCACTCTAAAAAATCCCATCTAGGCAGTGCAAGTCATAAAAATTTCATTTATAAATAAGCAGAAGTGCAAAAAACTTAAATATGGGTGAGCGGAACTCTAAAATATCACAGAGAGACAAAAAAAAATCACATTTTGGTGGATATAACTATTAAAAAATCAAATTCCTGTAAGTGTCACTCTAAAAAATCCCATCTAGGCAGTGCAAGTCATAAAAATTTCATTTATAAATAAGCAGAAGTGCAAAAAACTTAAATATGGGTGAGCGGAACTCTAAAATATCACAGAGAGACAAAAAAAAATCACATTTTGGTGGATATAACTATTAAAAAATCAAATTCCTGTAAGTGTCACTCTAAAAAATCCCATCTAGGCAGTGCAAGTCATAAAAATTTCATTTATAAATAAGCAGAAGTGCAAAAAACTTAAATATGGGTGAGCGGAACTCTAAAATATCACAGAGAGACAAAAAAAAATCACATTTAAATAAGTTTGTCGCTCCAAAAAAATCACATTTAAATAAGTTTGTCGCTCCAAAAAAATCACATTTTGGTGGATAAAACTATTAAAAAATCAAATTCCTGTAAGTGTCACTCTAAAAAATCCCATCTAGGCAGTGCAAGTCATAAAAATTTCATTTGTAAATAAGTAGAAGTGCAAAAAATTTAAATATGGGTGAGTGGAACTCTAAAATATCAAAGAGAGACAAATAAAATTTTAAAAAATCACATTTAAATAAGTTTGTCGCTCAAAAAAAAATCACATTTAGGTGGATAAAACTATAAAAAAAAATATGAAATTTAAGTAAGTCTCACTCTAAAAAAATCCATCTAGGCAGCACAAGTCATAAAAATTTCATTTATAAATAAGTAGAATGGTGAAAAATTTAAATATGGGTGAGTGGAACTCTAAAATATCACAGAGAGACAAAAAAAATCACATTTAGGTGAACTAAACTACGAAAAAATGAAATTTAAATAAGTGTCACTCTAAAAAAATCCCATCTAGGCAGTGCAAGTCATAAAAATTTCATTTGTAAATAAGTAGAAGTGCAAAAAATTTAAATATGGGTGAGTGGAATTCTAAAATATCACAGAGAGACAAGTGAAATAATTAAAAAAAAACAAATATAAAAGAAAGTCACTCAAAAAAATCACATTTATGGGATTGTAGCTCTAAAAAAATTAAATTTAAATGAGCGTCAGTCCAAAAATTCCCATCCAGGTGAGTGTAGCTCATGAAAATTCCATGGATAAATAAGGATAACTGAAAAAAATTTAAATATGGGCAAGTGAAACACTAAAAAAATTAAATATGGGCAAGTGAAACACTAAAAAAATTTAAATATGTGCAAGTGAAACACTAAAATATCACATGGAGAGAAGTGAAATCTTCTCCAAAATATCAAATATAAATGAAAGTCACTCTAAAAAAATCACATTTGGGTAAATGAAATGAAAAAAATCATAGAAATCATATTTGCTTTATCATAAATTATGTAAAAATATAATTTATCAAAATCTTTTATCAAGAATTATATAAATCAGTGTCACTCCAAAATGCCATTTTTAGGTGAGTGCAGCTCTAAAAAAGTAAAATTAAATAAATCCCACGTTAAAAAAGAATCACATTTAGGAAAATGAAGTGCTAAAAAAATCACATCAAATCAGTGTAACTCCAAAAAAAATCACTTTTAGGTGAGTGAAGATCTAAAAAATTCCAATTTAAATAAATTCCACTCGAAAAAAATCAAATTTAGGTGAATATAACTCTTAAAAATTCAATTATAACTAAATTCCACTCTAAAAAAAAATCACATTTAGGTGAGTTCAACTCTAAAAAATCTCATAAATTAACACCACTCTAATAAATTAAATTTAGATGAATACAACTGTAAAAAAATCACATCTATATCAGAGTAACTCAAAAAAAAATCACTTTTAGGTGAGTGTAGGTCTAAAAAATGCTAATATTAAATAAGTGTCACTGCAAAAAATCACTTTTAGGTGAGTGCAACTCTAAAAAATTCAAATATAAAGAAATTCCACTCTCAAAAATCACATTTAAGCAAGCGAAACTACAAAAAAAATCACATCTATACAAGTGTAACTCAAAAAAAAAATCACTTTTAGGTGAGTTTAGCTCTAAAAAATTCAAACAGAACTAAATTCCACTCTAATAAAATCACTTTTAGGTGAATATAACTCTAAAAAAAATCATATTTAAATAAGTTTATCACTCCAAAATATCATTTGTAGGTGAGAGCAGCTCCAACACCAGTGGCTGCAGGGCAAAGCCAAGATTCCAGGTATGGAAAAATCCATTTAATTCCTGGGATCTCCCGAAATATTCTGATTTTTCAGGGTTTGGAAGCAGCAAAATGCCCTCTCGTGTTGGCTTTGCTCCACAGAAACCCCACGGAACGCTCGGACTCATTCCAGGCACAGAATCCAAGGGATCCTGGCACCAGCCCTGCTCTCCTTCCGTAACAAAAAGTGGGGAAAAAGGCAAAATCCGGGCAAAAAACCCAAGCCATTCTTTGGGTTTCACGTCCCATTTGCTTGAAAGCTCCATTTGGGTTTGATTTTTCCCGGTTTTTTCCCCTCGGGAAGAGGCAGCAGGGAGGATCCAGGATGGGGGTGAGGAAGGGAATTTGGGCTGGGTGGGATCAGAGGGGGAATTTGCATTTTGTGTCCTTTGGGAATGTTCCTTTGGCACTCCTTGGCTCGGGCTGAAAGCTCTGGCATCCCAAATCCCGGGAAAAGGGGCAGGGATGAAAGGCTGTTAACATTAAAGCCCATCCTGAGGTGATCCAGGATGGAATTCCCACATCTGCACCTCCAGCTCCTGCCTCTGGAGCTGCTCTTGGAGCAGCCTGGAATGGTGGGAATGTCCCTGTCCCTGTTCCTGTCTCCGTCCCCGTCCAGAGGGGGAATTTGCATTTTGTGTCCTTTGGGAATGTTCCTTTGGCACTCCTTGGCCCGGGCTGAAAGCTCTGGCATCCCAAATCCCGGGAAAGGGGCAGGGATGAAAGGGGCAGGAAAAGGGAAAAGGATGAAAGGCTCCATGGACAGCCCTGGCAATGGTGCTGTTTTCCAGGATTTTAATGAGGCTGGCAGGGAGCTGGGGTGAGGAAAGGGCAGCTCGGGGCTCAGGGAGGATTCCCACCCCTGAGTGAGGACACTCCTCAGCAGGGATGGGGAGGGAAAAATGGGATTGGGAGAAACTCCTCTGTGAGGTGGAAATGGAGCTGGTGAAGGATTGCAGGGTGTGAGGGAAATCAGTCCTGGCTGGAGCTGGAATGGGGGATCCCAGGATCCCAGACTGGTTTGGGGTGGGAGGGACATTAAAGCCCATCCTGGGGTGATCCCAGTGCTGCAGGATGGGATTCCCACACCTGCACCCTCAGGATTTTGTGGGATAAACTCCTCTCTGATGTGGAACTGGAGTGAAAGAATCTCCTCCATGCAAGGAAAATCAGATCTCAGCACTGCAGAGGTTCCTGGCTGGAGCTGGAATGGGGGATCCCAGGATCCCAGACTGGTTTGGGATGGGAAGGATCCTAATGGGGGACCCTGAGGTGATCCAGGATGGGATTCCCACACCTGCACCCTCAGGCACTGCCTCTGGAGCTGCTCTGGGAGTAACCTGGGATGGTGGAAGTGTCCCTGGCCATGGCAGGGCTGCAGTGGGATGGGATTTTGTGGGAAAAACTCCTCTCTGACGTGGAAGTGGAGTGAAAGAATTCCTTCTTGGGACGGAATTCCTGGCTGGAAGGGTGAGGAGGGGCTGGGCTGGAATTCCCAGATTTGAGGTGGCTGCCCCTGAATCTCTGGGAGTGTCCAAGGCCAGGCTGGATCCACCTGGGACAGCGGGAGGTGTCCTTGCCCACGGCAGGGGTAGAATTGATGATTTTTAAGGTCCCTTCCATCCCAAGCCATTCCATGATTCCATGAAATTCTCCCTCTGCCTGGATTAACACATCACACAATGACCCTGTCTCACGTTCACAAGTTCAGGTGTTTATCTGCTATTTCAATACTCAGGCACATCTAAAAATTCACTGCATTTATCACCAAGAAGTGCCTGCATTTCCTGAGGCAGGGCAGCGCTCCCAACAATCCATAAATCCCTGATTTTTGGGACGTGCCGATGCCACGGGAGCTCGGGCTGCCCCAGCCCAGGACTGATGGCTCCCCTGCCACCCCCTCCAGCCCAATCCTGCTTTTTATTCCTCTTGATTTCCAGAACAAAGGATTTATTCATCTTATCCCAAAAATTTCCCAGTCCACACAACATCAACCTCCCAATCTCATTCCCAAATCCTGCAGCAGGCACGTTCCCAGAGCTGGAAAGACCCAGAGCCCTCCTGCAAGTGGGATTAAACGATCCCTGCAGCACATTTAACCCCTGCAAGGCCAGTCTGCCACGGAAACCTGCAGCCCTGGCTGCCACCAGCACCGGGATGGCTCGGAGATTAGGGAAACCTTGCTCTGGGTTTGGATTATTTGAGAGAGGAGGGTTAATTTGGGATATGAAAGTTAATTTGGGATGCAAGGGTTAATTTGGGATAGGAGGGTTAATTTGGGATATGAAGGCGAATTTGGGAGAGGAGGGTTAATTTGGGATAAAAGAGTTAATTCGGGATACAAGGGTTAATTTGGGATGTGAGAGTTAATTTGGGATAGGAGGGTTAATTCAGGATACAAGGGTTAACTTGGGATAGGAGAGTTAATTCGGGATACAAGGGTTAATTTGGGATACAAGAGTTAATTTGGGATACAAGGGTTAATTTGGGATACCAGAGTTAATTTGGGATGTGAGGGTTAATTCAGGATACAAGGGTTAGTTTGGGATACAAGGGTTAATCTGGGATATAAGGTTTAATTTGGGACACAAGGGTTAACTTGGGATATGAGGGTTAACTTGGGATATGAGGGTTAATTTGGGATACAAGGGTTAATTTGGGATATAAGGGTTAATTTGGGATACGAGGGTTAATCTGGGATATAATGTTTAATTTGGGACACAAGGGTTAACTTGGGATATAAGGGTTAACTTGGGATATGAGAGTTAATTTAGGATATAAGGGTTAATTTGGGATACAAGGGTTAATCTGGGATAGAAGGGTTAATCTGGGATATAAGGGTTAATTTGGGATACGAGGGTTAATTCAGGATATAAGGGTTAATTCAGGATACAAGGGTTAATTTGGGACATGAGGGTTTGGATCTTGGTGGGTTTTGGTGTCAAAGCAGGACACGAGCCAGGTTCTTGGTGACAACCCTCCAGACTGGAACACCAGGAATTCCAGAGGAGCCAAATCCAGGGATTTGGGAACCATCCCAGGGTCCCACTGATGGGAATCCACGGACGAGCTGGGACACACAGCCCACAGGGGCTCCACTCCAGGACAGGGCACGAGCAGGGGGGGACTGCAGGTGACACCAACAGGAATTGTCCCCAAAACCCCACGGCTGCCCCCAGCCACGGCCCCGCTCCAATCCAGCTCTGGAGTCCTCAGGAAAAGGATCTGGAGCTGCTGGAGAGAGCCCAGGGGACATCAGGGAGCTGGAGCCAGGCTGGGAGAGCTGGGAATGTTCACCTGGAGAAGGGAAGGCTCCAGGCAGAGCTCAGAGTCCCCCCTGAGCCTCCTGTGCTCCAGGCTGAGCCCCTTCCCAGCTCCTCAGGAATTCTCCAGCCCCTTCCCAGCTCCTCAGGAATTCTCCAGCCCCTTCCCAGCTCCTCAGGAATTCTCCAGCCCCTTCCCAGCTCCTCAGGAATTCTCCAGCCCCTTCCCAGCTCCTCAGGAATTCTCCAGCCCCTTCCCAGCTCCTCAGGAATTCTCCAGCCCCTTCCCAGCTCCTCAGGAATTCTCCAGCCCCTTCCCAGATCCAATCCCTTCCCCGGAGACACTCCAGCCCCTCCAGGTCTCTCTTGTCGTGCAAAGCCCAAAATTAGAATGGCTCCATTTCCACGTGAGAGATTTTTTTGGCCAATAAATCAATAAATTTCTTTCCAAAAAGGACAATTCCCCAGGAGGATTCACTCTGGTGACCCAGGGACAGGAACAGGGAATGTCTGGAGCTCTGCCAGGGCAGGTCAGGCTGGAGATCAGGAAAGGTTCTTCCCCAGAGGGTGCTGGCACTGCCCAGGCTGCCCAGGGAATGGGCACGGCCCCGAGGCTGCCAGAGCTCCAGGAGCATTGGGACACTGCTCCAGGGATGCCCAGGGTGGGATTTTGGGGTCTGGGCAGGGCCAGGGCTGGATGGATGATCCCTGTGGATCCCTTTCCATTAAGGAGATTCCCTGATTCTATGAGGAAGGAACACGGGGGAACTCAAAGCTGATCAGGAACAAAAAATTTTCCTGATTCTATGAGGAAGGAACACGGGGAACTCAAAGCTGATCAGGAACAAACTGCTCGCTTTTCTCTCCCACATGGGATCTCCTCCATGGGACTCCTCCATGGCATCTCCTCCATGGGGCTCCTCCATGGGATCTCCTCCATGGGGCTCCTCCATGGCATCTCCTCCATGGGGCTCCTCCTTGGGATCTCCTCCATGGCATCTCCCACATGGGATCTCCTCCATGGCATCTCCTCCATGGGATCTCATCCATGGCATCTCCCACATAGGATCTCCTCCATGGCATCTCCTCCATGGCATCTCCTCCATGGCATCTCATCCATGGGATCTCCTCCACGGGATCTCCTCCAGGACACCTGGCCAGGTGCACCTGGGGGTCCCATGGCTGCTGCCCCTCCCCCACTGCTCTTCATCACCACGGACAGCGGCCACTGCCCACCCTGGGACCGGGACTGGGATGGGGACAGCCCCTCCTGCCCATCCCCAGCTGCAGGGTCACCTCCTGTGAGGCCACCAAAGTGCCACCACACCCAGAGATGGGATTCACCTGCCTGAGACAGGCCAGAACCATGGAACCATGGAATGGGTTGGGGGGGAAGGGACCTTAAATCCCATTTGGATCCAAATCCAGGGACACCTCCCACTGTCTCAGGTGGATCCAAACCTCAATGTCCAGCCTGGCCTTGGGCACTGCCAGGAATCCAGGGGCAGCCACAGCTGCCCGGGCAATTCCAGCCCAGCCCCTGCCCACCCTCCCAGCCAGGAATTCCTTGCCAAGATCCCAGCCCAATCTGCCCTTTGCCAGTGGGAGCCATTCCCTGTGTCCTGTCCCTCTGTCCCTTGTCCCCAGTCCCTCTGCAGCTCTCCTGGAGCCCCTCCAGGCCCTGCCAGGGGCTCTGAGCTCTGCCTGGAGCCTTTCCTTCTCCAGGGAACATTCCCAGCTTCCCAGCCTGGCTCCAGCCCTGGAGCAGCTCCGGGGCCTCATTCCATGCTGATGTAGGAATGTGGAGCCCACCCAGAGGGTCCCAGAGCAGGGCCAGGTTGCTCAGGGCTGACCCCACAATTCCATCCCCATGAAGGAAGGTGTGACCTCACTCTGCTCTGGATGCACAGCAGCCATGGGAAGGAGGGAATGGATTTGCAGGGAGAAAACAGAAAGGCCAGAACCACTTGAACAATCCCCACTTCAAATTTCCAGCTTGTCCTTGGTCCCCTCCCTGGCTGCTCAGGGGCTGTCACAGTCAGGGTGACAAACACCCCCCTGCCCAGGGACTGGCTGTAGCTGGAAACATCATTTTCCTGACAAAAGAGGCTTCAATAAATGAGAAAAACCATCCAGAGGGGCAGACAGAACTTCCCAAAAGCTCCAGAACATGGCTGCATCCCAAGGTATGATGGACACATCCAAAGGCTCAACCCCCCAGGTCCTGCACTGCAGGTCTGGATCTCTGAGCTGCCTTTCCTGAGCCACTGGGCTCTATTCCATGGGAAACATCCCAAATCCCAGTGAACCAGCACTGGGAGGAAGGAGAAACCAACATCATCCCCAGGTTATGTGGGATAACACCCAAAACCCTCGGTCAGGTCCCAGGAAGCTGCAGCAGGATGGGTAGGGAAGGGAAGAAGGGAGCACACCAAGGAATTCAAATTTCCACCTCCCATCCTGACAGAATCCCTTATCCAAAGACAAACCAGGACAAAGGAAAAGGCAAAGACTGGGTTATGGAGCAATGTTTCCATGTGGGATGGATGTTCTCCAGCAGCACCAAGCTGCTGGGACACACTAGGGTGGGCAGTTCCCAATCCTTGGCCTCTCTGCTGAGCCCAGTAATGGGAATAGGGATAAAACCAAAAAATAACCAAATTTTGAGACACATCCTACATTCTCCAGCCTCTTCTGCACCTTCAGGACTCCCCCATGAGCAAGGAGCAAACCTCTTGAGACACCACAGGCACCCCACACTGCTGGTTTGGCGTTTACCTCTTCCTCCTCATCCTCATCCTCCACATCCAGGATCCCAGAATCCTGCTCCGACATGGGGCTGGTGTTCTTCACCTCCAGCTCGGAGCTGGCACTGAACTCCTTCTTGGATTTCTTCCCTCCGCTAATCCTGGGCTGCTGGGACACGATGTTGTCCAGGTTCCTCTGCTGCTGTGCCTAGGAGAAAACACAGATTTCACCTGGGATTTAATTTGGTTTTCAGGCACGGGGCGCAGCCAGCCCTGGAAGGGGACAAAGGAGGCCGGAGGCGCCACGCGCTCGGCGGAATTCCGACACGTCGCCTTTTCCCCAACCCAGATATTCCCAGATCCATTTGCAAAGCAGGCCAGGGATTATGCAACAACCCAAACACGCTCCTGACTCTTTCCAAATCCCAAGGCCCCGGCCCCCGTGCTGCCACATTGATCCGTTTACGGCCCAGCTGCAGCAATATTCGCCCGCGGGCCATGTGGTGACTGTCACAGGCCGCGCTCGGGGACCTCCTGAACCGCTGGATTTGTTCCTCTTTTCCAGCCGTGGCGGCACAAAACATTCCACATCTGGACCCCAGAGGTTCCTGAAAGCATTTTTGTGGGAGCCCAGGAGGGTTTAATTGCACATTGTTGATGTGCGGAACGAGCTGTAAAAGGTGCTCAAGGAAAACGTGCTGGAAGCAGCGGGATGGAGGGCTGGGAACACGCGGAGTTATTCCAGGGATTTTGGGGTTGTCTGGCAGCTGAGGTCACACTGTGCCCTCCTGCGAAAATTCCATTGTTTTCCCTTTGATATGGAGCACAATAACCACAGGAAAAGTGGTTCAGCCCCACTTGTTAAGGAGCTGATCAAGTTCAAACCGAAGGGCAAGGAATGGGAACAGCACGAACACACAAGGGGTCTCCAGGGCCAAATCCCAGCCAAAACCAAGGAAAAAAGGCCAATCCCATGGATGTGGCAGAGCTGGACACGTGGGTTTGAGTGCTGGTGTAACTGGAAAATAAACACTCGGAAAACCTGGAATTTATACGGATTTAAACACAGATTTGGAGGATTCCTCCCCGTATTATGCTGTGGATTTTTCATGTATCAGGAGAAAGGTGTGTGGGAATCATGGACAGGATATTCAGGATCCTCTCATTCCATGGGCAAGGACACTTTCCACAAGCCCAGGTAGCTCCTGGACATTCCAGAATTCCAGGATTCTCTGAGGTGGCAAAAGGGGCCCATCCCCTTCCCTATGGGAATGTGGCAGCCTGGATTTAGAAGGAAGCAGGAAAACCATCAAACCTGTTGGAGATCAAGCCGTCAGCAACACCAAGGGAGAATTAAAACATTATTAATAACTATTAAAAATCACTAATTATTAATTACTTTTGCTACCTGAAGTGCAGAGAGCACAAAGCTTTATCCATGTGCAAGCCTCCCCAATTATTTTCTTTTCGACACTTGGAAGTTTTAACATCCCCCCCAAAATAATTCGGGAGCAGCTTTGATTTTTGCCAGCCTCAAAATCCCTTTGGAATCTCCCCTTGGGAAGCAAAACCCCACCAGGGACCGAGCACTGGAGTAATTCCTACATCTGAGGAATACTGAAATCCAAGCATGGCATGAAGACCCCATTCCTTGGGAAATCCAGGCATGGACATCCCATTCCTTGGAAAATCCACCTCAAAGTGCTCCTCACCCCGAGCACACACAATCAGCCCTGAATTAATTAACGAGCTGGGCAATCCATGACAAAATTCCGTGTACAAAGCTGCCCCTTGAGGCAGCTGCAGCGGGAACAGGAGCGAATCCTTGGATCGGGATGTGAATCCTTGTGGGATGTGCTATCCCACAGCACAACCTTGACCTCTAGTGGTTGGAAAGCAGGAGCAGCCCTGGATTCATTTACTCCGAGTGCTCCTCCCAGCTGAGCCAGGGGACTCCCAACCCCATCCCTTTAAAAAAAAAATCTCTTCAGGGATGAATCCCAACAATGGGAATTTTTGCAACAAAGCCCCAGAGGGAAAGGTCTGGGTGGACACTGCCCAGGACAAAGTTTTGCTCCCGACGTCAGGCCGCGAAGCCGTTGGGGAAAGGGGCATTTTTGGCACCGGGATTTTCGGACTTCAGAGGCAGCACTCTATAGAAAGGCCTTGCAACATCCCATAAAGGGAATTAGGACTTCAAAAAGGGGCGGGAGCGCTTGGTCCTTCAGAAGAGAACACAACAAAGGGTCGGGGCTCGGGCCCGCCCAGCGCTGCCATGAGTTTCCCAACCCAGGCCTAATGAAGTTATAGCCCTGAATCCACTGGAAATTCCCCAAAAGCAAGCCCAGTGCACTCATTAAACCCTCCAGTTTATGTAATCCTTCTCCTTCTGGAGAGGGGAGAATCAAAGAGTGGGAAAAGGCGCAGTTTTGGATGAAGCCCTGAGCTGGACACGGATCGTTAATCAGGGCGGAGCGGGCCCGGAGCGCACAGGCGGTCATGGGAGAGGGAAATCTGGGATAACGAGCTGGAGGATGCTGCTGCCAGCCCTGGACTCCTCTGCCCCAGCCCTCGGTGGGAAACACGCGGCATATCAGGCTGGACATGGAATTGGTGTCACCAAGGATCCATGGAAGTGCTCTCTGAGGATGACCAACCTTGGTCCCACCTCTGTTTTCCAACAGGGATTAATCTTCCCTGTTTCGGGAGCACAGCAGGACCAGGTGTCAACATCGATAAGATCCAAACCAAATGCTGATAAGACCTCATAAATTCCAATTATTTAGAAATCAAGGAAATCTGTCCCTCCGGCATCGCTCCAGGACAAGGAGCCCCACATGGAATTTACCCCCCAAGCTTTGATTTTGCACTTTTCATGCAAATAAACTGATTTATCAAGAGAAGAGTTTTGACCTGGATTGAAGTCCAAGAACTAGCTGAGAAAATCACAGAACCCAGGAACAGTTTGGGTTAGAAGTGACCATAAATCCCATCCCATTCCACCCCCAGAGACATCTTCCCCTATCCCAGGGTACTCCAAGCCCCAGTGTCCAACCTGACCTTGGACACTTCCAGGGATCCAGGGGCAGCTGCAGTTGCTCTGGGCACCCAGTGCCAGGGCCTGCCCACTCTCTGAATGAAAAAAAAAGGAAAAATTTGTATGTCCCAACTCCCAGATATCCTAAAAACCAGCCAGACGATGCTCCCGAAGGCACAAAAGGTTTCCAGCCCACCAGGAGCAACTTGGACCTTGAGGAATCTTCACCCTTCAGGATTTTTGTGGGGGAGTTTTAAACTGGACAAGATTTTCCAGGGATTTGTGCCTGAACAGCCTCACATTCACTCAGTGGAGGTTTGTTGGTCCCTTTCTGGGAACACCAGAGCCAAATCCCGAGTTGGGATGGGCACATTCCCACTGCAGCAGGGACGGGAGCGCCCCAGCATGGAGGAGTGATCCTGGAGCCAGGCCCTGCAGGCCCCAGGAGAAACGGGAATGGCTTTTCCATCTCCACGAGGGCATTCCCAACCCCCCGCTCCCGGCAGGAAACGATCTGGACTGAGGTGACCTAAAAGTGAGAAATATCGAGTTTTCTTCAGCCTGGTGAAGTCAGCGAGGTTTGGGTTTCAGCGTGAGGGAAAGGCAGAGCTGGGGGGAGGCCCAGAGGAAGCAGCTCTGGAGAAATTTGGGATTATCCTAAGGAACTCCCCAGCTCATTCCCAACACCTCCCCGGGCCGGGGTGCAGCACAACAACCCTTCCATGGATTTGCTGAAAGGATCAAACCTGACCTGCAGAGGAGCACTGGGGGGTTTGGGGGTCCTGTTCCCCACAAAGGGAAGAGGCCCCACATCAAAGGCCGGGTCACACCCGCGGCGCCCTCAGAAAATCCACGGAATGGGGGCTGGAGGAGGCCCAAAGCCCTCAGGGGACGACAAATCCGATCCAAAATCCCCCCACCTTTTGGTGTGGTTTCCAGGAAAGTGAGGCCAGTTTGGGGTTATCCTGTGGAATTGCCTCTGTTATCCAGGACCATCAATCCTGGCTCGCTCTGCTCCATGGGAGCATAAAAAAAGGCAGGAGAGCCAAGGCCTGGTCGCAGCTGATGCTGCTTTTAGGACTCAAACACGAAGTGTTGGGATCGTGGAGGTGAAGTTCTCTCCAAGCACAGCCACTTGCCTCATCCACAGCAGCCTGGGAGACCAGGAGCACCCCCACCACTGCATCAGGGCAGAATTCCCAGCTCCTGATGGGAATCCTCTATCCAGACTGGCTGGTAGGACAAACAAAGGCACCTTTCCAGCACCAGATCCCACGTTTGTGGACTGAGGCTGTCATCAGGCAGTCCAGAAGACTTTTAGGAGACCTGGGACAGCGGGAGGTGTCCCTGCCCATGGCAGGGGTGGAATGGGATGGGATTTAAGGTCCCTTACCACCCAAACCATCCTGGGATTATTTGATGATGTAACTCCTGCACCTCCCTTCTCTGAGGGCTCGACCCTGCAGGATGCAGCTTTGGGGGTTTCTCTTCAAACCCTAAATACGAATTCCCAGAGAGGTGTGGACTCCTCATCCCTGCCAGTGTCCAAGATCAGGTTGGACAGGGCTTGGAGCAACCTGGGAGAGTGGAAGGTGTCCCTGCTCAGGCAGGAATGGGATGGGATGATTTTTAAGGTCCCTTCCAACCCAAACCATCCTGGGATTCAAAGCCCTCAACAGGAAGGACTTCCCTCAGCATTCCAGGATCCATCCCAAAAAACTCCCACAAGCTTGCAAGCAGCAACTCCACCTTCCCACCCCTCACAACCAAACCAACCCAACCCAGCCAAGGTGGAGCTCAATTTTTTTGTAGCTGAATTTTTCAGAGTTGGGATTTTCAAAGCAACTCAACTCCTCCAGATCAAGTGACCCCAGCCACAAACCTACACCCCAATGCCATGGAGGTATTCCCAGTGCCATGGGATCATTCCCACTGCCATGGAGGCATTCCCAGCTCCATGGAATCATTCCCAGCTCCATGGGATCATTCCCACTGCCATGGGATCATTCCCAACTCCATGGAGTCATTCCCAACACCATGGGATCATTCCCAGTGCCATGGACTGGGATCAGTTCCAGTGCCATGGAGTCAATTCCAGCTCTATGGAGTCATTCCCAATGCCATGGGCTCACTTCCAATGCCATGGAGTAATTCCCAACATCACAGACTCA